CGAATGGGTTATTTCCAGTCCTTGTTCTTAAAAATGGTGCTATAATGAACAGTAACATTTTCTCAGACTTTTATCAGTGCATCTCTGAAATAGATTCCTAAAAGTAGACTATGAGCCAAACCATATTATTCCTAAGAGTTCTATCCCCTCCTTAAAATGTATAACTTCTGGGCTTCCCTGGTGGCGCAGTGGTTGAGAGTCCGCCTGCCGATGCAGGGGACGCGGGTTCGTGCCCCGGTCTGGGAAGATCCCACATGCCGCAGAGCGGCTGAGCCCGTGAGCCATGGTTGCTGAGCCTGCACGTCCGGAGCCTGTGCTCCACAACGGGAGAGGCCACAACAGTGAGAGGCCTGCATACCTCAAAAAAAAATAAAAATAATTAAAAAAATAAAAAATATATAAAAATTTAAAAATGTGTAACTTCTTTTGGAAACCACGCAAGCAACTGTGACAGAGATTGGTAGTTGTCAATACGTGTCTCCCATCACTGTGTAACAATAAAATTTTTAGTCTTTAGCCTAGTACCCAACTACTTTTTTTTTTTTAAGATGTTGGGGGTAGGAGTTTTACTAATTATTTATTTTTGCTGTGTTGGGTCTTCATTTCTGTGCGAGGGCTTTCTCTAGTGGTGGCAAGTGGGGGCCACTCCTCATTGCGTTGCGCGGGCCTCTCACTGTTGCGGCCTCTCTTGTTGCGGAGCACAGGCTCCAGACGCGCAGGCTCAGTAGCTGTGGCTCACGGGCCTAGTTGCTCCGCGGCATGTGGGATCCTCCCAGACCAGGGCTCAAACCCATGTCCCCTGCATTAGCAGGCAGATTCTCAACCACTGCGCCACCAGGGAAGCCCCCAACTACTTTTTCAGCCTTCCTTGTGGCGAGGTGTGGCCCTGTAATTAAGTTCTGGCCAATGGGATGTAAGTAGATTTAATATGTGCAACTTCCAAGTCATTCTTTAAAGAGAAGATGACTCCCTTTCCCCTTCCACCTCCCTCGCCCCTTCCTGGTGGCTGGAATGTATATGTGATGTTGGGAGTGGAGCATCCATCTGGGACCATGTTGAAGACAATAGAGAAACCAGACAGAAGGTCCCTGGTACCTTGATGACTAAGGCACCACTGCACTGCCAACCAGGATGTTTATGTGAGAGAAAGATAAATTTCCATTGTACTTAAGGTCTTATAATGGGTTTTATTGTTAGCCTAGTTTTTTGAAATTGGATAACTCATGACTGTATCTATCTATGTATTTAAGATACTATTCCATAAATAAAATGAGGACTTAAATGCATAGATTTTATAAACATTGCCTTAGGCTACTTTTTTAAAAGTTAGCTTTTATGGCCTTCCTTATACTTGACCATGTCGCATTTAGTTAAGATTACTGGATAATTAACCTAAATGAGCTATTATGCAATAAACACAGCTCCCATTTTTACAAGGAATTATCAGCATCGTGTTTGTAATATAAGAATATACATCTATATTTATTACTCTGTGAATTTTCCCAACATGAACTTTAAAAAAAAATTTAAATGTAAAGGTTCACATCTTTAGTCTCCTCTGTTTTGACTATTCCCAAATGTATGCTAGAAATTCAAGACGAATGAATGTCAGAAAAAAAGTCAGTCTATTTGAATGGATAAAGAAAATGTGGTACATATACACAATGTAATATTACTCAGCCATAAAAAGGAACGAAATTGGGTCATTTGTAGAGACGTGGATGGACCTAGAGACTGTTACACAGAGTGAAGTAAGTCACAAAGAGAAAAAGCAAATAACGTTCATTAACGCATATATGTGGAATCTAGAAAAATGATACAGATGAACCGGTTTGCAAGGCAGAAATAGAGACACAGATGTAGAGAACAAACATATGGACACCAAGGGGGGAAGGGGGGCTTGGGATGAATTGGGAGATTGGGATTGACATATATACACTAATATGTATAAAATAGATAACTAATGAGAACCTGCTGTATAGCACAGGGAACTCCACTTCACTGTACAATAGAAACTAACACAACATTGTAAAACAACTATACCCCAATTAAAAAAAATAATAAAGTCAGTCTGTTAAGTTAGTGTTTGTGGATACTACAAGTCTTCCTATTATTAGCACTTAGAAATTATCAGGCTACTCCGATCTTTTAAATGAATCTAAAGCACCTTCTTTTATTTATTGGACTCTGTCAATACAGAAACGTCTTCCACAAAGCACAATAATCCAGATTATTGAATCAAAATACGCCATTCCGTTCTACATCATTCCAAACAACTTTAATTTTGGAGTTTCCTCCACCAGTGCAAAGCAGATCTGAGAGATGAACAGACAGAGCTAGAGAAAAGGAGGCTGCACGCAGGCAGCAACTGCAGAATCAGCGTGAGAACGTTCAGAGCCCCTGTTCACATCCCCGTCCCCACAAAAGAGCAGAAACCAAAATATGGCCAGCTGCAAGATACGGATTTGAACCAGAGGCCAAGGCTAAGAAAACTATGGGTTAAAAGAAGATGTGGCACATATATACAATGGAATATTACTCAGCCATAAAAAGAAACGAAATTGAGCTATTTGTAATGAGGCGGATAGACCTAGAGTCTGTCATACAGAGTGAAGTAAGTCAGAAAGAGAAAGACAAATACCGTATGCTAACACATATATATGGAATTTAAGAAAAAAAAAATGTCATGAAGAACCTAGGGGTAAGACAGGAATAAAGACTCAGACCTACTAGAGAATGGACTTGAGGATATGGGGAGGGGGAAGGGTAAGCTGTGACAAAGTGAGTGGCATGGACATACATACACTACCAAACGTAAAATAGATAGCTAGTGGGAAGCAGCCACATAGCACAGGGAGATCAGCTCGGTGCTTTGTAACCACCTGGAGGGGTGGGATGGGAGGGTGAGAGGGAGGGAGATGCAAGAGGGAAGAGATATGGGAACATATGTATAACTGATTCACTTTGTTATAAAGCAGAAACTAACACACCATTGTAAAGCAATTATACTCCAATAAAAAAAAAAGCATCCTGAATTCTACATAAGAACTAAGAATTATAAAAAATAAATGGAGATAGTTATTGCTTTAGAACTGACGTTATGCACTGGTTCTCAAAAGTTAGTATGAGTCAGAAGCACCTGGAAGGCTGTGAAGACAGAATGAGCTGGGCCGTCCCCAGGGGTTCTGATTCAGTAGGTCTTGAACTGACTGAGGCCTGACAGCCTGCATTTCTCATTAGCTCCCACAGTGCTCCTGCTGCTGGCACAGGGATCAAGCTTGATAACCACCTGGAGAACACTCCTATAAGGATTTCAGTGGCTAACTCTTTTCCAAGCCTACTTTCTTCGGCAGAGAAATTCTCTACCTATGAAATAAATTCTTTTTTAGTCTTTACTGGGACAAGAAAAGATTCAGTTAAGAATCCCTGAAATGACACATAAACAATCACAGGGAAAAAGCTGAAAAACTTCTGAGCCTCGATCCTCATCAGGGTCTTTCATAATCTCTCCCAGGGCCACACCTACAACAAATTTCTCAAGCTCATTCTCTTAGCTGGAATTCTATAACATTAAACATTTCCCTCACCAATCCTGATATCAAAATCCGGAGCAAAGTGAATAGTACTTTTCCAAATGTTACTTAGTCCCCATTTATTAAAAACTGGGAAAAAAAAAAAAAAAAACCTGTATTAATTGATTAGCTTGAATTGGTTGGCCTTACAAATATAGTACTTATAGGGTATTCATAGTAATTAGAAATCAAATAGCTACTCAGTATATAACATTGGTGTTTTCCTTTTCACCTCAAGCTTATAAACTCTTTTGTTATTTTTTATTGCATAATGGGATATAGATAACTATAGAGTTCCCCGAAAATGTAGAGATTCAATTTAAAGTATGCTTAAATGAAGAGCAACTGGAACTCTGATAAATTTCCCGCAGAAATGCAAAATGGCATAACCACTTAGAAAAAGTCTTCAGTAGATTCTTATAACATTCAATCTGCTCTGACACATCAATTCTATTCCTGGATGTTTATCGCCAAAAACAAAAAGAAAGAAAGAAAGAAACAGTATGTTCACAAAAACACTCGTGTAAGAATGTCTCTAGCAGCCTTGTACAAAATAGGCAAAAACTGAAAACAATGATCATTTGTCCATCAACAGGGGAAGGGATAAACTGTGATATATTCATACAATGCAAATGCTACTCAGCAATGAAAAAGGAATAAACCACTGATACAAGCAACAACATGAATGAATCTCAAAACCATTAGGCTGAGCAAAAGAAGGCAAACACAAAAGAATATACACAGCACAGTATGACTTATATGAGGGCCCAAAGCATACGCAACTAATCCATGCTGAAAGCAATCAGAAAGTGGCGATCAGAAAGTTTGGGGTAGGAAGAATGGATTGGCAGAGAAGAGGCAGGAAGGAGCTTCCTGGAGCAATGAAAGTTTTCCAGTCTTGTTTTACATAGTAGTTACATGGATGTAGAAGACTGTCAAATCTATCCAACTGAACACTTACAATCTCTGCATATGTATTTAAATGTACGTAATTCACATCACAATAAAACAAAATGTTTTAAGCCTAACTATTCGAGGAAAAGAGTGGTTTGCCAAAGCACCCTGAATTTGAAATAAAATACACTTTAGGCAGAATAAACAGTTTGATGTTTAAAAGTCCATTATGGCTGATAAAGAAGCAATGATAGATGAGTGTTTACAGAATTATGATTCTGAGCTAGAAAGAGGGTGATCAAACATTTCAGTTTGCCCTAGACACTCATCCCAGTGCAGACCTGATGTTACAAAACTAATAGTGCCCCCTTCACTATCAAAGGAATCCTAATTTAGATGAAGACCTACAAGGACACTTTAGCTAAAAGGACATTTGATATTATTTAGTACCTTTTCCACTCAACCCACATCTACTTAGCATCTACTATGTAGCCAAACACAATCCCTACTTTCTGGCTACCTTTTCCACTCAACCTTTTCCACTCAACCCACATCTACTTGGCATCTACTATGTAGCCAAACATAATCCCTACTTTCTTGCTACCACTTCACATTGCTTCCCTGTTTCCAAAATTAAAATTTAAATAGCTAGATGGATTTTGTCTAAAGTTAACTTAAAATATACAGCTGAGGACAAACTAAATATAGAAGACAACAGAATTTTTTTTTCTACAGGGAAATATAAATCAAGCTTATGAAAGAAAAATTATAATTTTGAGCTATGCAAAACAAAATGTATAAAGATGTTCATAAATATAAAATAAAGGAAAAATTTACCTGCTGCCCTGTAAAGTATTTTAGGTTCAAAAAATATACAAGGATTTTTATCCTCTATGCATGACAAAAGAAGTCCCTTGGCCTGGAAAGGGCTTCTGGGTATAACCACCTGCAAAAACAGATTTTTTTTTAAGACAAGTTCAGTGAAAATGAATCCCAGTAAACTCACATACAAGGGTTGATATTTAAATAACCAATTGTTACTAATTAAATATAGAAATCTTGTATTTTTAGACTAATTACCATTTGTCATAAAATTCACATATTGTCCAAAATGATCCCATTTGTTCCACAAATATTTATCAGATGCCCACCATATTCTGGTAATTAAGATACTGCTATTCTCTCAAGGAGTTAAACTGGCATATACATAAAAAATAAAAGGAAACCACAAAGAGCACTCATCAAAACAAAAAAGTAAATTTGTCAATATCTTCCTGTATTTACTTATAAAGAAATCTTTTCTACTAATATCCAACTGGTACTTTTCAAAGGCATGCAACTCTCTTCTCCAATTTTAAGATGCCAAAATCTCCTCCTTTCCCATGAAAAATCTGGCCTTCATTTCCTAAGTGGAAAAATAATCCACTGAACTTTATGATCCAGGTAATATAATGTGCAGTTACTGCAAAGCTAAAAGAAAAGTGTGGACGTTGCACATTTCCAGTTGGGGAAAGGGCTCAGGACCTTCTTGAGAATGAGACTGATAATGAGGAAGATGATGGTAATAACAGCAGGTGGCATACGTGTTAACTGTTGATTAATCCACTATGTGGATTAATTCATGTTCATAGCAACCCCATGAAGTAGCAATTATTATTTTCCCCAATTTAGAAATAGAGACTGAGGCTTAAAGAGAGACAAGTAGCCTGCCCAAGGTTACCTCGATTGCGAAAGCAAGGATTCTTGCCTGTTCTGACTGACCAAGCTCTTAATTTCTACACCATTTTGCCTCAAATCACAAACTCTTGTCCAGTTTAATGATTGTTAAATAACTACATAAAGATGTTATTACATAGGAAGAGTTATCATTAAAATAAACCTGAATTTATCACAAAGACTCAAATAAGATTCCTTGAAGCAAACTATATTTGGCTTTCAAAATCATTTTTATACCATTTTATTGAAGAATTTTTATTTAAAAAGTAAAATAACACAAATCTCACTATTTTCCGAAAAGAGACTGTTAAATACATTGCTCATCATAGCACACAATGTCTTTATCTTATGTTCCTATTTTAGTTTTTATTCAGCTGCTTTCTTCATGTATTTATTTTTAGCCTTTTGTACTATATGTATATTCTCATTTGGGATAAAATAAAAGAGAAAGCATGGGGGGAGAGAGGTAGGGGTGAGAGAAAAGAACTGCTCTCAAAAATACTGGGTAACATCATAAACATTAAATGTGAATCAATCTTCAGCTCAAGCACAAAAATAACTGTTGCCTCAAATGTGGTTTTTGTCCCAACCTACCATTTCTAGCTTACATTGAAAAATTATGCAACCCCTACTTAACTACAAAATTTTACAACTTTGATCTGGTAGAAAAAACAATAAAACATAGACATACTTACAAATGACTCACGTTATCAAAAACCAGACATAAAGCTCTGGGTAGAAATATCTATGAGTTTTTATACTGATTCCCTGGAAAGCTCTTCAGAAAATAGAAAAGAAGATAATGTAAAAAATTAGGACATAAAATAAGCAAAAAATATATATTTTTTTAATCAAGAGACCCAAGCTGTTGTGGAAGACCTAAGATTATTGTGGAAGGCTGTAAAAGGCAGATGCTTCAAAATTAATTGCTTGAGCAAGTATTACGTTACCCTGGACTGGAAAACATACCTAGGTAACCAAGTCTTCTGTCGGTCTATTTAAAAGTAAGAAATAGACTGAAAGCAAAATTTTATTCCTGTGACTTTGAGGTAAATATGCACTAAGCAGTAGACTTATTAAAATTACTCCAGAATCAACTGTTAAGTGAGAAAGCCCCATTAGAAAGAAACCAAGCTTTCTGCTCAAATGGAATTTGCAAGTAAGGCCTTTTTGCTGAACAAATCTGTGAAACTTGCCAAAGACTGATAGGAATGTATAACTTGACAAATGTAGGAATGTATAACTTGATTGATAGGAATGTATAACTGTCAGTTTCATTTTTCATGTCTTGGTAATATATGTTATTTTGATAAATAAAGATGATTTCTATCACAAAAAAAAACAAAAAGAAAGAAAGAAGGAGAGCTTTGAAAGAGATGGAAGATAAACTATGTTCTCGGTTTTATTATTTGAAGTCTATGAAATTCACATCGGGGTAACGCCAGTGCTGCTTCAAGGAAAATATTCTATAAACCTGGATGTTGGCTGCTTAATGTAAATGAAATAAAAGCTCTCTTTCTTAAAAACAATTAAGTTCACATAAATTCCAAAAATCCTGATTGCTTTTCTCTAGATAACCATATTAGTTAATATTAATCGAATGAACCAAAACAGAAACATCAAATGGAGAGCAAATAAAGTACATAAGTGAGAATACCTTGATTCCTGGGCAGTGGGCAAAAAAAGCTTCAGGACTCTGGGAATGGTAGAGAGCCCCATGGCCGACACAGCCCCAAGGGGACCGGATGGTGAGGCTTCCACAATTAAAAAGATCCCCAGAGCGATAGCGATACTTGGCGGCTTCATTAACAATCTGAGGGGGAAAGAGAGAAGGAACATGTCACAATGAGTCCCTTTTCCCATCCATTTTCATAAGCCATTTATTTGATCTTTAAATATATGTCCATAACAAAATAGCTCAAAGGTAACAAAAAGTTCCTAAGATAGGGGTTGGGAGAGTGGAGATAATTCTTTAATACTTCACGGACTTCCCTTAGAAAGGCTCGATTATGGTAAAATGCAATCTTCTTACCTGATCAAAAGCAGGGAAAATATAATCTGCAAACTGAATTTCCGCAATGGCGGTAGCACCAGTGACTGCAATTCCAATTCCAAATCCAACAATTCCTTGTTCACACAATGGGGTATTAAAAACTCTATCTTTACCTACAAAAGAAATGAAAGTCATCTTAATGTGACAAAAGGGAGTAATGTAATGCACAATACATCTGAAAATTCACTGAGTTAATAATGGTGAGATAGAAGAAAAAAGCATAGAATATGTGGATGAAACAGAAAAGAAATAGTACAATGGTTGGTTTCAATGCAAACATAGTAATTATATGAACTCTAAATAATCTAAATATCCTAATTAAAAGAAAGATTGTAACACTGGGATACAAGAAACCAAAACCTAACTACTGAAAAAAAAACACTCAAACGATAAAGATAAATGTAAAGAAAAGGAAGGAAAAAACGCACAATGGAAAACCTAACCAAAAGAAGTTGGTGTCACTACGTTAATTGCAGACAAAGTAGACTTTAAGGGAAAAGGCATTACCAGAGATAAAGAGGGAAAATTCATACTGTTAAAGGGTTCAATTCATAAGGAGGATATAATTCCAAATTTATAGTCATCTAATAACACAAGCTCCAAATAAACAGAAAAAATTGACAGAATTAAGAGGATAAATAGATAAAATTCCCAATATAGTAGGAGATTTTCATGTACCAGTCTCACTGACAGAAAAAGCACACCAAAATAAAAAGTTAAGGGCTTCCCTGGTGGCGCAGTGGTTGAGAGTCCGCCTGCCGATGCAGGGGACATGGGTTCGTGCCCCGGTCCGGGAGGATCCCACGTGCCGTGGAGCGGCTGGGCCCGTGAGCCATGGCCGCTAAGCCTGCACATCCGGAGCCTGTGCTCCACAACGGAAGAGGCCACAGCAGTGAGAGGCCCGCGCACCGCAATAAATAAATAAATAAATAAAATAAAAAGTTTAAAACTATTGAACATTTGAACATGATTAACAAACATAACCTAATTGACATACTACACCCGAGAACTAAGAACACAAATTCTTTTCAAGTAAACAGAGAACACTGACACTAACTGACCACAGAGTGGGCTATACATCCAATCAACAACTTCCAAAGGATTAAAATCCTACATAGTATATTCTCAGACCATGGTGGAATTAAGCTAGAAATCAATAGTAAAGTTTTAAAAAAAAATCTGCACCCCCACGTTCACTGCAGCATTATTTACAACAGCCAAGATATGGAGGAAGCAACTTGAGTGTCCATCAATGGATGAATGGATAAAGAAGATGTGATAGATAGATGGATAGATAGAGAGACAGACAGACACACACACACACACACACACACACACATACACACACACACAATGGAATATTACTCAGCCATAACAAAGAATGAAATCTTGCCATTTGCAACAACATGGATGGACCTAAAGGGTATTATGCTAAGTGAAATAAGTCAGACAGAGAAAGACAAATACTGTGTGATTTTACTCATATGTATAATCTGAAAAAAAAAAAAAAAGAAAGAAAGAAAACCAAAACACCAGGCTCATAGGTACAGAGAACAGGTTGCTGGTTGCCAGAAGTGGGTAGGAGGGTTGGGGAATGAGTGAAGGTGGTCAAAAGCTACAAACTTCCAGTTATAAAACAAATAAGTCATGTAATGTACAGCACGGTGGCTATGGTTAATAATACTGTATTGCATAGTTGAAAGTTTCTAAGAGAGTAGATCTTAAAAGTTCTCATCACAAGAAAAAATTTTTTAACTATGTGAGGTGACAGAGGTTGACTAGACTTACGGTGGTGATCATCTCACAAAGTATACAAATACCCACTTATGTTGTACACCTAAAACTAATATGTCAGTTATGCCTCAAAAAAAATTGTTTTAAGCCTTGCATTAGGAAAGAAAACTTTAAATATACGTCTAAATAACCCATGTCTCAGAGAAGAAATTATAATGGAAATTAGAAAGTATCTTGAACTGAATGATAATGAAAAAACTACGTGTCACAACTTATTGAAGTTCCCATTTCAGTAATGGCAGAGTAGCTTTTGTCACACTAGCCCTCCCACATCTAATGATTACAAATCTGGACAGAATATAACAACTACTTAAAGGTGTCAGAGAACCAAAAAGCAGGTCTGAACAGAAGGAGACTTGACCCTTGAAAGAAAGGAAGCACATGCAGGACGGGCCCCACCTTTATCAGGCTTGTTCCCAGTGGGGGACTCCCCAGGCTGACATGAGACAGCTAGAACTCAGACACACAGACTCAGTCCTGTTGACCTGAGGTGTCAGGGAATGGAGTCTGGGGCTGCCAGTGGCTGGAACCTGAGACACTAAGTCCCTCAAAACAGGGCACTCCATGGGGGCACCCCAAAATCTGTGCATGCACTCTGCTCAAACCCTCGGCTGACCCCGTGCCTGCCTCAGATGACAAGAGCTGGGACCCACCGGGCTGATCAGAGATGTCAGCCGTACCCACTGAAGACTTTTAGACACTCTTCCAATGAAAGCGTCTTGATAAACACCTTAGGTTTTCCATTAATCCGCAGGATACGTTATTAGCATACAACTCAATTCTCACTTGAAATTTTATCACCTCTCAACCAGTATCAGTATTTCATGAAAAATTCTCATTTCAGGGAGCTGGATGGACACAAGCAGTGGCCACAGTCTGGCCAGGGGATGAAAAGTATGGGGACCAATCAGGATTCGTGTTTAGTTTGTCATCATGATCTGGGATTACCTTCTGAAATTGTGACCCCCATCCCTCATCAGTTTCCTATCTGACTGCAAGTAGCTTGATAACTGCTGAAGATCTGCACTTCCATTAGACCAAGAACAATTCACTGGTAGAAAATGAACACAGATTCCAGCTGCCACCTGTGGAATCCACATCCCTGAATACCGCAAGCACCGTAACCAGATGAGCAGGGTTCCTATCTATTCCTTGCTACCTCAAGTGCCAGATTCAGATATTTTTCATCTCAGTAAACATAACCCTTTTTGCTGCTAGAGGGCAAAAGTTGAGTCTCTCAGAACTCTTACTCCAAAACAGTTTGAGGAAACTGTTTAACAGCTCTCGCCAACAAGTTTCTAAGCTCTAACAGAAACTGCTTCAACATGAACTAAATAATAAAAGTCTGTTTCTTAAAAAAAAATAAAAAGATGAAAAGCAAGTATAAAATTTTTTAAAATCTGTTTCTATTTTCTCCCAAACAGGTCATGATTGAGGGTAAGAGTACAAATAAAATGCACAATACTGATAACTTCCTTTACTTTAGAATGCAATTAACCTAACATAAAGTTCATACACATAGTATCCCAATGGGTGATTAATACATACAGGGATTACACCATGAGTTAAGACAGATCTGGGTTTAAGTGCTATCACCACAAGTTACTAAACTCCCTATGGCTCAGTTTCATATCTGTAACAGAACAATCATGATACTGAAAAGACAAAAATAATTCATACATGTATTCAAATGTTTACGAAGTACCTAATATTGTCTAGATGCTATTCTAGATGCAGAGGATACAGCAGCAAAGAAAACCAAAAAAAATCCTATCCTCATGGAACTTAGATTCTGGTCAGGGAAAACAGACAATAAAAACAAAATAAATGAGTAAAATACATAGCGTATTAGATGATGACAAGAGCTGCAGAGAACAGTAACACAGGGAGTAAGTGGTCAGGGGAGAGGAAGTGGAACTCCTATGGTTTTAAACAGGGAGATAGGGGAGGCACCACTGAGAGATGACATTTAAAGGAAGAGTTGAAGGAAGTGAGGAAATGTACCGTGAGTACATCCCAGGGCATCAGTGTTCTGGACAGAGGGACCAGCAAGTGCAAAAGTCCTGGGGTATAAATATGTTTAGCACTTCAGAGGAAAGGTATGAAGACCAGAGTGCCTGGTATGGAGTAAGAGAAATAGTGGTAAGAGATGAAGCTAAAGAGTTAAAAGGATGGGCTGGGGCAGTGGCACAGGTCGGACGGGGCCTGGGGTGCGGGGAGGGGGGGCACTGTAAACAGTCTGACTTTGACTGTGAGAATGAGTGAGTCAGTAAGTAGGTGAGTGAGACAGGAAGCCATGGAGCAAAGTCACGCCATCCTCCAAGTTGCATTTCAGCAGGATCCCTCTGGCTGGTATTTGGTGAACAGCCTGTAAATAGGCAAATGTGGACACAGCAAGACTGATGACAGGATGCTGCAATCATCCCAATAAGAGATGATAAGAGCCTCCAGATATAGTCTAAAGATAGCGTCAGAAGGATTTACCAAGGAAAGGGAAAGGGACGTGGAGCATGAGTCAGAGAAACGCTAAAGATGAGTCAGTGGCTTTTGGCTTGAGTAGCCTGAGGAGAGAGTTACCACTGCCCAAGGAAGGGAAAACTAGGAAGCAGCATGTTGGGATGAGAAACCAGGAGCCCAGTTGTGGAGATGTTACATTTGAGATGCCTTCAGACATTAAGGTAAAGCCACTCATTAGACTGTTGGATATATGAGTTGAAAGTCTTCAGCATGAAGATTGCATTAAAAAAACATGTGATTGGATGAGATTCCCAAGTACATTTAAATGGGTACCTAGAGAAAGGAGAGACCCAGTGTTAAAAAGACATGAAAAATAATCAGCAAAGTTGAGAACGAAAAAAAGCCAGAGTTTGGAGGAAAAATAGTAGAACGTGCTGGCCTAGAAGTCAAATGAAGCAAGTGATTCTAAGACCAACCTGTTCCAGTTGAAAGTGAGATGAGGGCTGAGGGTTTTCTAACTGGTGACCCAGACATAACAGTGTCTGCCAAGTGGGAGGGAGGGAGAAAACAAATGCCTAATTCAAGAGGGATGGGAGAAGAGAAATTGGAGACAAGAAATAATGACAATTACTTGGAGAAATTCAGCTGTAAAGGAAAGAAGAGAAAAGGAACAACTAGCTGGAGAGGAATATGGAATCAATAGAGGGATTATTTTAAGATGGAAGAAATAACAGGATATTTGCAGGCTGATAGAAATGATCAATAGAGAGGGGGACACTGATGATTGAGAAGATTAATGAAATGGAGAGAAGGAAGAACGATTGGAACCATGTGTTTGCAAAGGTGACAGAGGCAGGGGTCT